TTAACTTCCTGTATCACAGTTAGTTGTGCACATGTTGGCCTGTTAAATTAAAGGACCCGTAACAAAATAGGAGGTTGTTTTTTTTTTGTTTTTTAACACAACACGACTCAGCCCTGCAGGTCATGAGATTCACAAGCTTCACTGGCTGCTTGCAGTACATGATTAGGGGCAGACTTACGTATATTTATTTTAAATGTTTGCAAATGTTGTTTCAGAGAAAGGACGTAACACTATATGCCAACTGTAAAGTAACGACAAACAACCCTTTTAGGTAAAGCAACAATAGCAGAAGATACTTTAATGTTTAATAAACTGCATTTGTTGGTGGATTTAGTTGGTTTAGTGCAGTTGAAAAAAAAACAGCCATGCATTTCTGTTTTTTCACTTCTTACTCTATGATGAGCAACGCTAACATTGTTTGTTCTCACCTTGATGTTCTTTATTTACTTTTTTTTCTCCAGTTAGTTATTAATTCAGAGACGTTCAGTCTAAACACACCTTTTGTCAACCTTCAAGACGTCTCACTACTTTACTACAGATAAAGACAAACACTGACGTTAAATGTTAAATAAATGAGTAAAAGGCATTATTTATATGTGTACACTTTTCAGTCCAGATTTTTTACACAATCTCTGAATGTTTTTATTTCTCTTAAAAGGAGAGAATTCTCTGCGTCTCACTGAGACTAAGTGGTCTACTGAAAGGAATGACGTCCAGATCCATGTCATTATGTCAAAGTCTTCCAAAGGTAAGAAAACAAATCATCATTGACATTCTCCTTTGCAGTCTCTGGCCCAAACCTGAAAAAATGTATAGTTTTTTTTCTTTAATCCAGAGTCCCCAACAACAACATGTGTGGTCGGTGATGAGGTACTGACGTAGTCAAATCTTTGAACCCTTCTGCTGAGTCACGACTGCTGGCTCCCAGACTACGTACATTATCTAAAGAAAGTGTTCTCGATACAAGACGTTATTTTTCAACATATACATATATATTTAAGAAACACAGATTTAAAAACACATTTTACGTTAATGTACTTCACAGTTTTGATATGAAAAAAATAAAAATAAAATTATCACGAAGAAAAGAATGAAAGGATGTACAGTATACCAATCTGCTGTAGGAAAACAGGTGTTTTGCAAACTTGAGATTCCTCATGGAAAAATGATCTGACAGTAGGTTAGTCGAGACATTATTAAGAATTGTTGATATGATTCTGAGCATTCTCAGTAACTGTATCCAAACATCTTCCTGGTCAGGTTCTGAGATCACGATGCTTCCTTCATTGATGCCTACTTCTTCATCAGAAGTTCAGTGCGCTGTGGACATGACCTTTCTCATCCCATTCTCCACCTCCTTCCGCTGACGCCCCGCTCTCGTGCAGAAGGCGAGTCAGGATGTTGAGGAGACGCTGGTAAATGTCTCTGTTGCTTTCACGTCTTCCTCCTGGTGGGTCTTCATCTTCTCTGTCCTCCTCACCTCTGTCTGTTTCTGAGCACTCCTGCACTGCTCGCTGCAGCTCCACCTAGGTGCCATCCCCAAGATCACATTCATTCATTCAGCATCATTTTTATCATCGTCAGAAATAGCTTCAAGGAAAGTGCACAGGGGAAAAAAGCTGACCTGAAGGGGGAGCCCTGCTTTGGCCCCCAGCAGAGTAGGAGAAAACCATGGCCTGAAAATCTTCTCACAAATCACCTGATGAACAGAAGGAGGAGAAGAAGGTGAAGAAATGATAGGAAATGAAAAAAAATGGTTTATAGGATAAAAAGAATAGAACAGGAACCAAAAAAGAGGAGAAAAAAGAGTTTGAGTAAAGATAAAATAATGGGATAATGAAGGGAATCAAAAGATAGGAAGGAAGAAGAGAAGGGAAACACCAGAAACAAAAAATAGAAAGAGGTGAAAAAGAAAAGGAAGAGTTAAAAGAAATGAAGTGGTTAAGGAGAGAAGAACCCTTTTCCTTTTTATCTCCACTTCCATCTGTTCTCTTTGAGCATCAAATCATCATCAAGTATTTATCCTGGCTCTCCTCTACTGAAGGCAGTCTCCTCGTATCATGTGACACGTAGAGAAGCTTTCACAAAATTATTTTATGATGAGATGATTTTATATAATTTGTTAACAGAAAAAAAGATTCCAATGATCAAACATTCCACCTACGTGGTATGTATTTTTTATATGAATTCAAATGTGTTACTGAGTTTGTTTTTTTTTAAGCTGTGAATTTACATCCAGCAGTTCATACTTTCTGCACGTCTCTCTTACCTGCAGGTTGCTGTTGCGTCTGCGAGTGCTGCACCTGCGTTTGCTCAGGTTACATCGAGATGAACAGTCAAAGAAGTTGCAATCGTCGTCGCTGCTGCAATTTTGGTCCAGGATGTCCCTCATCTTTGGCTCAAAGAACGCCATGTCCACGTCTATGGCTACGACCTGCAGGAGACGACAAAGAGGTACGAAACGCTTTGAGATCTGTTTTTTATTCTCATTGGATATGTGAAGCAATATCTAAGTTTAGCTCGGGTTTCTTGTAGTAGTGCAAACCTCAGGATATAAGTTTAAACAAGTTTAGCTCGGGTTTCTTGTAGTGGTGCAAACCTCAGGATATAAGTTTAAACTCACCGTCAAGTCAGTCCTGATGGCAAAGTTCTCAGGTTTGATGTCACACAGATGCAGTTTATGCCTGAAGTCATTATCAAAGTGCCACACCATGTCTAGGAAGCTGAGCGCAATGTGGTGCACCATCGCCCTTGAGGTCCAGCGTCCACGAGGTCCGGCCCAGTCAGGACCCTGTGGCCCAGAGACCACCACATCCTCCATTGAGAAGATGTTCTGGTCCCAGGCATGTCCAGCAGACAGATACTCAACTGCATAAAAATGACCGCAGGACCCCAGTACCTTGGCCACATGGGTGCTGAGGTCCTGCAGGAGTCTGGAGAACAAATGCATCTCAATTATTTCATCAAATACATTTTCACAGAGGTGTGATTTGACTATTTTGATACATTTTTATTTAAAAATAGCCTAAGCCTTTTTTTATTATAAAGATATTTCACTCTGTTGGAAAAGATAATCAAAAAGCAGGAGAAACATTTGTCAAGAGACTTCAGACAGTTTTACCTGAGGAACGTGTATTCCTCCTGCTGCAGCAGCGACCACAGCGTTGCTAGCTCTGCTTTTGAGTAAGTCTTGCCTCGGTTTTTTATCTTATTCCCCCAGAGTCTAGCGATGGAGCTGTTACTTCCTGCTACACCTCCTCTTCCTCCACCTCCCCTGTCCTCCTCATCTCTGTCAGCTAGCCCCAGCGAGTTGCGCACCTGGCGTCAGAGGAAATTATTTTACGTTGACATTTCTGTGATTAGCTTTTAGTTGATCCTGCTCATTGTCAGTGTCAGCTTACTTCCAGTGTGGCATAGAAAATCACATCCAGGGGTGAGAGCTCCTCCGCCGCATCCTGTCGAGGGCAGCGGAAAGTGAAAAACTGTTATGTGATATGATATTAAGTCTAAAGATTACACTACAGTCCTTCACAATGCAGTTGGAAACTGAGCGTCACCTGGTAATCCAGGATGGCCAGTGGCTCATAGGAGGAGAAGTTCTCCAGCTTGGACTTGAGGATGATGGGTTTTCCTCTCCAGTGGGCCTCAATCACTTTCTTTCCGTTCTCGTAATACAGGCAGCGTTTGTACTCGACCATGCCGAGGTCACACAGATCCTCACACATGTCACCGGTCACGGAGCCTTCCTTGAACTCCCGACACTGCCGCACAGAGAGAAGGAGGAGGAGGCAAAGAGTCACTTTCTGAGGGTGAGGATTTAGTTACAACAGCAACAAATCGTTTATGTCTCACAGTAAATTTTTACAGTAGCAATTCCAAGATAGGAGTTTTTTTCTTTTGGAATGGCATCTTGTCAACTGGCTAAATGCTTATTTTTCTACTCCTCTTTTATTTTCTTTGTACCTAATACAGTGATATGACGTGCAGGTGTTTTTGGGTGTAAGGTGAAGGATTAGTGTAGTTCCAGCTGTGGATTACAGGAATAATCCTTTCACTGGGCCCACATTCCAACACCATCATCAGTCAGTGAGGAGATCACTATGATCTGGACATGACCAAACATCAAACCGTGGCAGCCTCCGCCACAAGAATCGACTGATGTCATTCTGGGGGTTTATATTTCTCTGACTGAAAACATATCTTGAGAAGTAAATTGAAAACAAACTTTGATTTTTTTTTTGGAAACTGCACTGACACGAGCAAACACACCCTTCCCAGATATACAGACAAACGCCACGTGATCCTTGAATTCTCTGTCCAGTAAGTGTGTTTAATAATCTGACTGAAGAAAGAAAAATATGAGTTGATGGGACAGTGAATTTGTTATTCGGGAGTGTGTGTGTGTGTGTTTTGTGCTGTAATGCGGTCTGCAGCTGTGGACTTAACCAGCTGTGAGATCAGCCTACACTTCCCCAGAACTGAACTCAAGGGCAAATGTTCGCCCACGCCGAGTGTGTGTGAACGAACGTGTACGCGTGCATGCACATGTATGTGTGTGAATGTGTTCATTCAGCCCACACCTCTGGCGTCTCAGGCTTTTTGTTCTGCATTTCAGAACAACAGCAGCGTTCATGAGCTGTTGATTTACGCCGCTGCAGCTTTTGCAGCGTTACTGTACATTAGTGACGTTGACCTTTGAACGCCTGTCACCGGTGATTGATCACCCGCTGTCGCCTGGTTAAGAGCCAAAGCTTTCTTTCTACCCACATGGGAAATGTTCTCCGCTGACTCCCCAGCTCTGTGAGAACAGAGTGATGCCATGTTTGGTGTGAAATTTACATGATGGGACACAAAAATGTTGAAATTCACGTCATTCGCTTATTCCCCATCTGGGATTCATTTTCAGCGTTTTGGAAACCATGGTTTTCCAGCTTCCTTATCCCCAGACGAACTTTTCGGCTTCTTGCTCACTTCTTTCTTTCTTTGACGTTGATGGATGAATCTGTGTGACTTGTCATTTTGTCTTTTTTTTGGCCTTTGAGAATTTGCCTGTTTTGTTTTTTCTTTAACTTTAAATGCAGGCTCAGGTGTGCTGTGCATTCTACTTCTCAAGATTTAGTTTTTTTTTTGAGGATTCAAAATGTTGTGGTGAACCAACACAACATACACAACGAAGGATGAAAACACAGCTGTCAGGTATGTAACTAAATACCTTATGTTGATGCAAAGTAAAACATCTGTGAGTTTCTGTTAGTTCCTATAAGGCATGGTTTATTATTTAATTTACTACATAATCCTGTAGTCTCAATTTTTGAATCAACTTTTGAACATTTTGACAGGTGTATCTTTCAATTTTCAAGGACCCCAAGGTTACAACCAAGATGGCTGCACTTCGTATCACATGTAAGTAAAAACTATTTTCTTGTAAATGTCTTCTACGTGTCTTCTGGCTGCACAAGTTAAAGTATATATTTGAATAGCTGAAATTGTAAATATTGTGTTGTTACTGTCAGCATCAGTTTATAGATGTCTGTGTGTTACTAATGCATGCTTTTCCTTATTTGAACATTTTTTTCAGGATTTCAAACCTCGGAGAAACTATATTCAGCCTCTAGATCCTGGTTTGGATGACGACTTCACACAGAAGGTTTCTTTATTCCCTCAAGTCCATCTCTGTGTCTTTATCTAACTATGGTGATCCGGATGCTCTCATCCTCCAAGTTCACAGGAATGTCATCAAACGTCATTAAGGTCTTCAACGTTTCCTCATGCTCCCGCTCTCTCTCTCTCTCGTTCGCTCGCTCTCTTTCTCCCTGTCATACCGTTGTGGAATTTCATGGTGAGAGCGCGACAACAAAGAGCGTCTTTCACGGACAACAACTCTAGAAGAAAAAAAACGTCTCTGTTCTCACTGTGCCCTTCAGAACAAAAATGTACTAGCCACAGAATGGTAGAAGAAGAAAAATCAGTAAAAACTAAAACGTATTCTTCTGATATTCTTCTGATAAAAAAAACAAAAAACAAACCCTTAAAATAACTTGCTTAACGTAGAGTGATAAAAAAACACCCTTAAAATAACTTGCTTAACGTAGACGTCGAAAGACGTCAGTGTCATGTTTGTTTTGAATCAAAAAAAGGGAGAAAAGGTTCCGTTTTATACGTAATTGTATATATATTTATATATTTATATGATTTAATGGTGGTTATGCCTTAAGCTTTAAAATGTTCAACCCCTTCTTACAGATATATAGTAAAAGTCCATTGTGTCTACTAGCGTCAGACCTGGTCGAGGTGGAAGTGTAGACACAATGAGACAAAATAAAGGGTGTAGTGTTTGTCAATTTTAGCTCATGCAAACTAATACAAATACATGAAAATGAGAACACAAAAACCTCTCACAGAGGAACTCACAACTGCGGTGTGCTAATTGGGAAAACAAGGCAGGAACTGAAAGTACAAAAAAAAAAAAAAAAAACATTCCCACACACCTTACACAGTTTACACAGCTGGAGTCAGTGGTGTCATTCACACTCGTGTTTACAAACACCCAGTCCTGATCAGGGCCTTTATATTTTTAATGTACGTTGGTAATGGTTGGTTCGTTGGTTCACCTACCCTGCCTTTAATGATGCCTCTAACATCGGCATCATTCTAAGATTACGGCTTAACGCCGACAAACCCGTGAGGGGGGAAAGTGATTTCACTTTTATCCCATAAAAACAAAAACGCTGCAGGAGAATTAGTGTGTGGTTTATAAACAGTTTAACCAAAGTGTCTGCAGCTGTTCGACAGGAGAACTCACAGACACACACACACACAGACATAATACATTCTACACGCTGCTGCTGTGTAGTGTTAGCTGTTTGCATCTTGCAGTGAACCGTTCTACTGTGTGACACTTAGAGACCGTAAAAGAGATGATGCCAGGCTTTAAAAACTGTCAAAACTGAAACAGACGCGGTTAAAGTGAGTGTGATGAAGCAGAGAGGAGCACACACTGATGGAGACCACACACACACATACACACACACTGTGTGACGGCAGCCCAAAGTGCTGCTCTTGTTTCCGTATAAAACAGAGGTAACAACATTACAAGCCTCAGCTGATTTTCATCTACACACACACACACAGTACATGTATTTATCCTGTTATACATGTGTATTTTACAACATTCCACATTGGAAAAACACAGGTTTGGCATATTTGAGCTTTAACTAGACAACTTTGGAAAACAACCAGTTTCTGAGTTGTATTTACTTTGACTGTTTTCCTTTAGTGCTGTTGTTTATTTTAGGTTAATTTAGGTTAATTTAACCTGGAATAAGGTTAAATATATTGTGATGGGCTTACTTCATTTTTTTTGCTGAATTTCTTGGGCACAAATTAGACAAATGTTATATATTACAGTGAACTTCCTCTATAAAAAACCCTAAGAAATATGTTTCTCACCTTTTTTTATTACCTCTGTTGTGTTTTCTTACAGAAAAAAAGGAAAACCTGAAGGTCCTGGAGAAGAATAGCATCTAAAATTCCTTCCAAGCCTCTGCACCTTTCTCTTGTCTGTTGTCAAGTGTAGATCCAAAACAAAGGTAACGTCATCAGCATCATCCTCTGCTCCCTCTCCTAACCTTCTCCCCCGTCTTCTTATCTCTCCTCACTCCCCCTCCCTGACCGTCGTCTTCGTCCCTCATCTGAATACAGATGCAGAAAACCACAGTAGCAGCGGTGGAATGCGTACAGAAGCAGTTGTTAACCTTTGGATACAAGATCAAATCTTGTTCTCTGTGAGTCTGACTGAACATTTCTGATGTATTTGTAGAGAGGTGATCACACAAACATACAGTGGTAAGACTGAACAAATCAATCCAAATGTTGGTGAAGGGCCCTGACAGGCCCTGGTGCTGACAGTACAGTACTCTACTGCTTTATATCTGGACAGGTAGAAGTTAGATTATAATGATTGAGTCATGTATTGTAATTGCATACATGAAGTGATTGTATAAAAAAAATACATAAAGAAGATCAAACTCTTCCTGATACGTATATTTATATGAATTACCCCAGGAAAAAAGAACAGTTTATCAAATTCTCTGAAGAAAATAAAATAAAAACATTTTATTGTCGTAGGACTAAACATATGAGGTAAGGCAAATTATAAGTTTTGAAATCATTACTAACTTTCTCTCTTTGTTTATCTTTAGTACAAACCCTGTAGCATTTTAAACCCACAGGTTTGTGGTTTAAAAAAAAACAAAGCGCTAATGCCAGGCTTTTTATAAAAGGAAGAATGTAGAGACGTGCAAGAACAGAGTCAGTCGAGCAGTAGATCTTCAAGAGGTTGAACGACAACAGGAGAGAAAGGAAGTATATTGGTCAGAATAAAAAAGAAACCAGATATGACAAGCCTTGACAAACTCATACAGTAGAACCTGAGCAACTTATTTATGTTTTTCTAGCAAAAAAATAGAAGCATCATCTGCAAAGAGGTGAAGATAGAGAGTAGTAGAAACAAAGAACTGTTGAAGGCTAGAAATCACCAAAAGAGATGAATCTATCAGAACCAGAACTTTAGGTCTCTTTGTTGACAAGATATTTTATCGCCACAGTGTTGAGGAACATTCTTTGCAGTGAATAATGAATAATTCTGTTTCAGAAAAATCCCAAAAATGTTTCAAGAAAAGAAAAGGGTTGTTGCCGAGGGGATGTGATAGATGTGGATGTTGGAGATGGAGCTGCAAGCCAAGAAGACTAGAAGACCTCAGAAAAGATTTGAAGATGGAGGGAAGGTAACTTTGAAATAATGACACTGATCTGCTCAGGCAACCCCTGGTGGTAGACATCTAAGGAAGAAGATTACAGTAAGGAGTGGGAGCATGAGGTCTGGACTTTTGAACTACAAAGTCATGTGTTGTGATGAATCCAGATTTTCCCTGCTTCAGAGTGATAAGAGTATCAGGCTAGGAAATGCTTATTCATTATTCATAGTGCTAGCAAGTGTAGTGTACAAGCCAGCAAAAATGTGTTCCCAGAATATGGAATCAGCTACACAACCTAAATGACATGATGGGTGTTTTTTTTTTTTTTTCATGCTTCTTTTTATCAAAGGTTTTTCTATCCTGATGGAGGAGGCAGAGTTTCAGGCCAGTAAATCAAATGTTCACTGGACCAAGAAGAGCAACTTCTTATCGTGATTTAAAAACTTGTACTGGAAAAAGGACAATAAGGAAAGAAACTGTTATCTTGCATATTTTTTTTCTATGTTTATATAATTAAATCTCACCTTAGCATTCAAGCATGTTGGTTATTTACCAGATCTGCATGACAGATGAACTTCAGCCTAAAATAGCGTTGTATTTTTATAGTAAGACCTTAAGTTCATCAGCTCAGAGATGATGGACTACTAAGCTCAGTTTCCCAGGAGTGTATTTTTATCTGTGTCCCACAGGATTTCTCCAAAAACCCAGACTTGCGTCGTTAGGTGTGTCCTGAAACGTGTGTACGCAGAAACATTTTTTTATCCGACCTCTGACCGATGGCAGTCTGAAAGTAAGTCTCAGCTGATCTAATCTCTCCATCTTCAACATGCTGTTCCAGTTAGATCCAGATCTTTGTCCAACACCATGGAATGAATGTTCTTCTAAACTCTGACACACAGCTGGATCACCCCTACACACTTCACCTGTTCACTCCCGTTATGGTCATGACCCGGGTTTGAAGAAAAGTAGGAACTGGACTGGATCAAGGTTAGCTTTCATTTTTAGTCATATGAAGACAGATTTAAATTACTCATTTCTATCTTGAGTTTCTGCCATGAAGTAAAACAGAGCACGTAGGAATCATCAACTGAATTAAAGTAAAAAAGCTATTACATCATAGAATCAAGGAGGATATTAATGTTATTATGTGAAATTAATATAATTCCTACAAGTTTGTAAAAGTTGGCTTTCCACTAAAATTGTTTCATAGATTTAAAATAAAAAAGATTCATTTTTGTTCAGGCTTATATAGTGGTCTCTCCATCTTTTTGTCCTCTTTTGTCTCTGCTTTCTATCTTTTTCTTTTCATCCGTCATCTTCATTCTTTACTCCCTTTACCTCCATCTGTTCTTTCCTCTCTTTTTTTCCTTTTCAGTCTTTTCATTTTGACAACCTTTTTGTGTGTAAATGCATCAGGTTTCCCTCGTGTGTTAGCTGTAAATTTAAAATTGATTTGCTTAACAGTATCAGGCTATTATTTATATATATTTATTTATTGTCTGGTTTATGGAAAAAATGCAACAAAGAAACAACATTTCAAAGAAAAGAATGTACGTAGCAGAGGTTTAAATTACTCTAAATGAAACCAATAGTACAAACGTTCTCCAGAAAGACTGAAAGTGGACACACACAATGATTTTGTGTCAGTGAAAAGAAGGAGGAAAGACAGGAAGCTTAGGGTTACTGAACTTTTGTTCTGACACCTGGAAAAGTCTCAGCGTTAATCCTTAGATTTTAGACGAGGACTGTGGGATAACTAGAGGGTCAGTGAATGCATTGTGAGGCCTTTGCTGTTAAACTTCCAGGAAAAGATGATGGTGCATCTGTGCTGCATTAGTGCTGGCGGCGAGGCTAAATTAACTTCTGGAAACTGGAAACCAGTAGACTGGTTCCTGCAGCTCTGTTTGTTGACTCTGGAATTGTGGACGTGTTTGTGTGGGATTTCATCAGTTTCTACTTGAGATCATGCAGTGGTTTTGAAGTGTTTGATGGATTTGACTGAGATCAAACTTGTAACCACAGTGTTTGTGACTTCGCTCAGTGGTTGAAGAAGCAGCAAAACATGGTGGAATTTATTACTTTAGACTCTTTGATATCCAAAGACCACGATGAAGGATTCAGGACAATGGAGGAACCATGATGGTCCACCTTCAAACAGGACGACAGACAGCCATTTACCCTCCTATGAGATGCCCTACATTAGTTGTTCCACAACCATGATAGTCTATGTGGACACTGGATGGTTTATGTTCAGTGAGGACAGTCTATATGCAGACCTGGCTATCCTTCAGATAAGAAAAAAAACCAGACTGCACCTTTAAATGTAAACTAGTAAATGAAGGCTGAGAGACTCACCAGACGCTGCAGGATCTTCTTGCTCTTGTCGTCAGTGCAGTAGTCGGACATGATGCTCCTGTGGACCAGGACTATGCCGTTCAGGAACAACCAGGAGCCAAACCAGAGCAGGGCAAACACCAGGGTTCCACGACGAGACCACAGGCAAAGGCCGAGCCACCGGACCAGACCCAACCTGCCGCCGCCACCAAGACCCCCACCGCCATTGCTGCTGATGCTGCCTCCACTCCTGGCTCCACAGGACACCTGTCCTCCAGGTAACATGGTGTCACTAGTTACAAAAAATCTTCTTCTGATTTTAGAAGGAGTAATGTCATTATCTACGTGAACAAACGTCAGAGGTTAAGCAGGAAAAGAGTTACGATCCAAACATTTGTTTCCTCTGATTAGGTTATAGTTCCCGCTTCCAAAGAGTTTAAGATGAAGTAGAGAATTAGGTTCACAGTCTTCCAGTCAGAGCAACACAATCAGGAATGCGTCAGTCAACTGTCCTGTCCACCATCTTAGATCCACATTGATAGTATCACCCCACTTTGTTGACATTTTTCGTTTTCAGGTGTGGATGTTTTTTTCTGCTTGTGTTGCTTTAATGTTGCTTTCTATTGAGTTTTCAAATGTGAAGCAACAGGAAACTGAGGTGAATCTTCATCACATTATGTAGAGCAGCATTGGGAGGCATGTAATCGAAGCAACATTTTCCTGATCATGAAAATAAATGATGAGATCTGTCACATCATTTACAATTATTCACCCTGAATAGGGCAGAAAATAAATTCAATAACACTGAAGAAAGTTGTATAAAATAATTAGAAAAAATCCTTAAGTTTTCAGTCGAGGACTGCTGCTGTGCTTTACTTCAAAAGTCGTTAAAAAAAATTAGTATTAACAGAAATATGAGAGAAGTGCAAAGAATCCAGCCAATGAAGCTTAGGTTTCTTGGAGGGAAAAATCATTAATGTTGTTCAGCTTCTTTCATTTAAAAAAAAGGAAAAATACTGTTGTTGTTTTCAGTTGTTGTTTCGTGTTTCATGTTCAGCAGAGGAGCTCTGGTTTCCTTCGCTCTCGTAAGTCCTCATGATTCTTCATCTCTGACCAAAATCTGTGACGAAAAAAGAAAACATTGTGTTTGGATTAGACAAATAGTCAATCATTAAATATACCTGTTCAAAAGCAAATTTTATATTTCTTCTGTTTTTAGTTAGGTTGGTGTTGGGGCAGAATTGTTTGGTTTAAACCTTAGTTCAGTTTACAGACCCTTTGAATTATTGGTGTTGGGGCAGAATTGTTTGCTTTAAACCTACTATTAGTTCAGTTTACAGACCCTTTGAATTGGTTTGATTGGGCCTTGATTAGTGTTATCTGTTTTAAAGCTCAGTTTCAAGATGATTATATTTGACTGTCGACTTCACTTTTTTTCCTAAACCCTAAACCATTAACTCATTGTCGCATCTCTTCTACACATTTTTTTAAACAGATTAAACAGATTATGGTAGACAGCAGTCACTCCAGTCTATGGATTTATTTTCTAGAGAGATCACCTCACAAATTTTGCTTAAAATCTTTTTTTTCTTTCACGTCCTTTGCGCTCACTGCCATTTGATTGTCGAAATCCTACATCACTACTTTCCCAAGTGGTTTTGGCTGTGTTTCAAAAAGTGGGACTTGCCAAAAGCCAGTGGTCTGTGGTCTCCATTATTCTTGTGGTCTGATCCAGATGGTAAAACCTGACCCTGAAGAAGCAGTTTATCCGTCAGTAATTTTGTTTCATGCGTCAGTTTGTTTTTTCTGTGGCATTGAGAAAGTGAACTGAAGGAGGCAACAGCTGTGTTCTAACTGCTCCCCTCAGATTTAACTGATATCGGCTACTATTTACATGAGCTCACAGGCTAGTAGGCTCCACCCACTCGATGGACAACCAGGTGGTTTGTTTCATTCAGCGGGTCCGGGGGTCTGGATAAAACATTTCCCTGAGGTTACTTCCTAATGGGTTTGTCAGAAATGTGTTTAGCAAAGGGGAGCGGGGCTAAAGTCCAAAGGTGTGCCTCCATATCGTGGCATGAGTCTTTGGGGACTTGTAGTATGTGCTTGTAATCCTGTGAAATTCTATTGTTCATTCTCAGGATCCAGCAAACTCAGCAGTAAGTGCTTCTCCTTCTTTTCAGGTTCCCAGAGCCCAGCAATACAGTACATCCTTATTTTTCTCTCCCCAGGTGAGTCCTCCAGGTCTTTTCACTACACCTCCTCCAGGTCTTCCTTTCTATATGCTCCTTTAAGAACAGGAAAGACTTACCTGTCAGCTTTCACACTCCTACGCCTAAACATTTGCTAATCTGACAAAAAAAACCTCTAGGAATTCACAAATCCTGACACCTTTGCCTCAAGCAATAAACATTTGAATTGATTTAAGTTGGAGAATGCATTCAAGCCCTGAAGAAGTTACAATCACGTTCACAAAGATTCTTTATATATATAGTTTTTGAAGGCAAATTTTTATTAATTGTGTACGTTTTCCATAAAGTTTTTTAGTTTAACGGATATGTAAATATATGTGCTCTAAATCAAACAAATGCTACAGTTGAAGACCACAAATTCTTGTCTCTGCAGACGTCCCTAAGGGCTGTTTAGTTTAATGAGACAGGGCCTCTCTCTTCACCTGGAGGTAAGGCTTAAATCTCTCAAACCTTCAGAAGTTTTTCCTGAACATACCATAGGCCTGTCAGCAGTTTAGAAGGTCTAAAGGTCGTCTGCGATGTCCTGATAACTTGTGGTAAAAAAAAAAGTGTTGCCTTCTGGAAGGCTGTCGTGTAGAGGTCTTTTTGTCAGACTTGAGTTTGTCTGGTCTTTGTTGAAGAGATAAAAGAGATGGAGTGAATTCCAAGAGATGGATTTAGTGTCTTGTTGCCAGCGAAGAATCAGAAGATGACATTTTTACAAGACTGGAGGATGAATCTTCTGAAACCGATGATCTGGAGGCTTCCCCAATGTGGTTCTCTGCAGCTCCATCACCACATGGAAAGTCCACCAGCAGGTATGAAGTTACTGAGCAGGTCTGAAGTCCAGAAGCAGGTCTGAGGTTAAACAAGAAAAAGCTCTGGGTTCCTGTGCAGATGTTCCTGTAAGAGCAGAAGAAGCAGCAGCACTTGGTATAAACAGTGATCCTCAGCTGACAGAAGAATCAGCGCTGCTCAATGTCCTGCTCACACTGCTGCTGCTGCTGCTGCTGCTGCTGCTGCTGCTGCTGCTGCTGCTGCTGCTGCTGCTGCTGCTGCCCCCTCTGACGCTCCAACATTTGCCTGCCTGAAATCATCCAGCGTGTGCGTATGTGTAGTTCAGGCTTGTTCCTTTTTCAGTCTAGTTCCTCTTTCCTTTTCTATTCACTCTGCTGCTCTACCAGTTTTTTTCCTCCTCATATTTTTTTTTTCTTTTCCTACTGGAACTGTGCATTGGAATAAGAGAGAGAGAGAGTGTGTGTGTGTGTGTGTCCGCAGAAAAGAGGGAGGGGGCTCTTGCAGTGTCCCTTTAAAATTATAAAGACCCTTGTCTTTCTCTCTCTCTCTCTCTCTCTCTCTCTCTCTCACCCCCTGGCTCTCCAGTCTTCCCCTCTCAGGTTCATACTGATCCCCAAGCAAATTAGAGGCTCTTCCACCATTTATCAGACTTCCCTTCATGACACCCTTACACTAACTGTCACATAAACACACACACACACACACACACATGCACAGGGGCCATCACACACAAGCCTTCAATAAAAACAGCTCGCAGGCTAAAGGCATGTTGGTAATCGCCCGATATCTTAAGAGTAAAAAGACGCACAAAGAACATTTATTCTCTGTGTGTGTATGTGTGTGTATGTGTGGGAGACCACACACGCCACATTGATAATTGAATTTCAGTTAAAATAAAAAATGGAATAATAAACTGTTCCACACTGTAGTGAACGTGTGGAGAATGAATGTGTCCAGAGCAGAAAAGGTGATAAACTGTTCAGTTCAAGTCTGTGTGGAACTGAATCCTGACCTGGAGGCAAACCAAGAGCTGATGTAGGAGTTATAATCCCCCACTTAGACTACACACGACAGATCATTTGTTTGTTTTTTTAAGAGAAAGGGAGCCTGAGAGTTGTACATGTACATTTATACAGCACATCTCTAGTCCTAGTGACACTCTGCCCCGAAAAAGAACCCAAATATGTTTTTAATGCTATTACGGTTGCAATGACTGATTCCAGTTCTCCTTCATTAGAACACAATGTCAATATGAGGAGCTTTATTTTCAGCACCCTGTCAACAGTAATTCATTACATAATTGAAATTGTCATTTGAAATGTCAGATACTTTTAATCACTGTTTTTTCTTCTCTTTCAGGGATTTCAGAAAAAAAAAATCAAAAACAAAACAATTGAACAGAACTACGTCCAAAACCAGAAGAAGATTTTCAGTCATTTTCCTTTGGCTTCCCTTTGGCCCTGGGTCAAGCACATCACAGCATCCACTTCCACTTTTACAAAGGTATTTGTTTTGTTTTGGTCTTCCATGACTGTTGACATCAGAAACACGTTACCGGCTTCCTCTCATATGTGATGTTCACAGCATTACAAAAACCAGACTCTGATTGCAAAATAATTTCTTAAAAAGTTTTTGAAATTGACTGAGACTTGAACTGTTAAATTCTGGGCATCTTTGAAGAAAAGTTTCCCTTCCACGTCAGTGTTATGGTGAGTTGTTCGCCAAAGCAATCTTTTGTCAGTCACAGCTGTTCTTGTGGATGTTATGCACTCTTCTGAGCTGCAGCTGTTTCAGTCAACCACTTATCACAGATGCCTTGTAGGCACAGCCAATTATTTCAGGCTGAGTCTTGTGGCAGGTTATTATCTCACTAATATGCTAATAAGCTAAGGAACTTTTAGAAAAGTTGCTGCCTTTGCAAAGCCTTATCTCCTCATTTACATATATGTATATATTTTTTGTCTTTTCACAGACATTACAAACTCCACAGCCATTTACCCAAACCTGAACCATTACAAATAAATACCTAATACTCGCTGTAATCCATTCAGAGACTAACATTTGATACTGACAACCTGTCATCGGAGTTTTAATAAAAACTATACGTAAAGTTATGTTTCTAAAGGGCCCTTCCCTGCACATACGGTAAAAGAACACAAAAACTTAACTTCACAGTCGTTTCGGCTTGCAGTCAGACAATTGCTTCACAGCTCTATCTAGTGGTGGTTTGTAAAACTACACAAATCTAAAGAAATAGGTAATTTAATACTTTAGCTATCAACAATGAATAAACAAAATTTGTATCCGCTGTAAATTTTGAGATATGTCTGTAGTGAGTATGTTACACATTTACAGTTTCTTTAAATTAATTAAATTGGCGAGAGAACGAAACGGGTAATATTACCCACAATTATTTATTGAAGAATCACTTTTAGCTTCCGTCATTAAATGTCGTCACAGCGATAGTCCTATGTCAGACCTTCGCTAAGTGAAAAACCGTTAAACACATTTTCAGAATAACCTGAAAGTTTACATTCTGGGATATATTGTATTTATTTATGTATGTTTCAATATATAAATACACGTGTAGATATGTAATAATTTATGTATGTTTAAATACAGCATTTTTTTAGATATTTATTGGTGACTTAAATTTTGACTTGACAGGGATGCGTGAGCTGCCACTAGGGGGTGCGCGAGATTAAAGATTGTGATAGCGGTTTGTTAGTAGTTTTTAAATGGGATATCCACTCAGTTAAGATGGGTAAATAAACAATTCAGTTGTAAGATATGAAATCAAAAGTTGGCATTTTAATTAATAAATGCAGGCTATATATGTGTGTGTGTTATATGTGTTTTCTGGTCATTTGAGCTTGCTTAAACATGCTGCCTTTATATGGGTTGTTGTCTCTTTTTTTTTTCAAATGGTGTCTGTAACTGGGTGTGCGTAGACCCGGTTTGGATATGTAACTTTTCTTTGCCGTGCATCCCCTGTGCACGACACAAAAACTTTGGGAACCGCTGGATTGATCGGTAGGAACCTTTCAATGCCCGTTGTTTCCAGCGAACCTCAGACACATTCGGACAGAGTTGTTAAAAACAGACGCGGTTCTAGTGTAAAAAAAAACAACAACATTTCAAAAAACCAATTGGAATCACGGGTGTGCATTAGAACAAGAGACCCTTAAAGCGCAAACATAGATCCAGATGAAGTTCCGCGGAAAAATTATAGACGTGGCGTGTCTGAATCACTTCAGCCGTGAGTTTATTTATGAGTGTTAGCCTGTTAGCGCCCATGATGCTACACTGATTTTAACGGATAACTTGCTACTATATGTGGTTATCGTTGATCACTAAACATACATGCTTAAACATAGACCAAGCCTTTATGTTGGCCGCCGTGATAGAAACTATTGTACGGTACTGGGACCGTGACTCCTGAGAGATAGGACTGTTAGATTAGAGCACAAACTTTTCTATAAGACGATCAGAGTTATCTTCATGTGTCATAAATTAAATTGTAACTGACATCTTTCCTACAGGCGTTGTCACCACTATCTCTAAACTGACGAAGACATGTGTTCTACGACTGACACCTGACAATTTGTTCTTTGTCCTGTCTGGTAAAGTGGCCAATGGAGGTGTCAGCATGTGGTGTGAACTGTCCCAAGTAAGACAACACTTGTCCTTATCTACAACGCATCACTCAAATTATGTATCTCTGGTCTTAGTCTCGTTTAAACGGAGCAGTCAGGTTTTCATATATTATTCTTACCGTTCTGTCCTTTACTCTGTTTTCTTTAAAGGCTAATTTCTTTGATGAGTACCAGATAGAGGGTGTGTCCCCTGAGGACAATGAGATCTGTCTGGAGGTGGCTCCAGAGAATCTGTCTAGAGCCCTAAAGACTGTACAGAATGCCAAAGCTGTTAAGGTGAAACTGACTAAGAAGCACTGTCCCTGTCTGACCATTGCTGCAGAGCTGGTGAGCCATTAACATTCACTGGATACTTCTGGATTCTTAACTCTTCTGTGCTCTGAATTAGCTGATGTGTGATAACAGTATTGCCAAAAATATAACTTTTGTGTATTGTCCTTTCTCATGTTCTGCTCAGCCCACTCTGTCCAGCATAGGTCGAATCGTCACACACGACGTTCCAGTTGATGTTATCCCTCGAAGGCTTTGGCATGAATTCAAAGAACCGAGCATGCCAGACTTTGACGCACGTGACAGTTTGTAACAGTTTTATACACCATCACCCTTAAGTCAACACAGTATTTTATAAATGTGTATATGTACATCTGCAGGTCAGCATCTTCCTTCCACATCTAAAAACCATGAAGAATGTCGTAGATAGGATGAAGAATCTCTCCAACTTCCTGGTATGGATCATTTCCTAGAGACTTTAAGACCTGTTTGGAATTTGTCTCTGTATGAGACACAGAAATTCCTTTTTGTTACAAAATACTTGTTTCATTACCATAAAGGCAATGTCATAGTGCACATCTTTAGATCACCCCATCCTGACAGTAAGCAGCCTCACAACAGCTGTGTTGTAATAGTTCTTCGGTGGTTTGGTCAAATCCAAGTTTAAGTCATCAAAGAAAAATAAAGTCTGATTTGAGTCTCCATTTTTTAATACACATTAATGTTGTAGAGTGCTAAATCTTGATTAATTATTTGTTGGAAGATGCTGTCTAATAACACAAATAAGGAGTGAACTAAGCAACTAAGTCATTTTCTCCTCTCATATATGCATTTCAGGTAATTGAGGCCTCCCAGAATGGACAGATGAACTTGAAGATAGAGACAGACTTAGTGTCTGTGACAACACACTTCAAAGATCTGGGAAATCCTCCATGGGGTATTTTCTTTTCCTAAATACCCCCCTTTGTCCTTGTCACCTTCTCCTGAGACCTCTGTAACATTCCCCACACCTTCTCCTGAGACCTCTGTAACATTGCTATTGTAAAACAGCACAATTGCAGTAGTTTAACCTCCAGTAATACAATAGTTAAAGTGATGTGACATTTTCTGATGTTATGCATAAGTAGAAAAGCTGCCAAGACAAACCAGTTTGTCTAGTCTGCTTTTGTTGTTGCAGGTGATGTGGCCTCTCAGGAAGGCCGGGCTTCTCAGAGCAGAAACCCAGACACCATGGCTGAGGCCAGAGTGGACATCAGGAGGCTGCAGCAGTTTCTCATGGGACAGCAGGTCCAGCCCAGTAAAGCAATGTGCAGTGAGTCATACTATGGCATGATGTATGATGTTGAATTACCACCAACTCTGCTGCATGACTCAGGGTTATGAATTTACAGGGAAATGAGAATTTACTTAAAATGTAGTTTATTGTTAAAAATAAATAAATCTGGGATTTACCTCTGTCAATTTTAAAATCCAATGCAATGTATTATAGTTAAATTTAAAAAAAAAACAAAACAATGAGAACAAGATTTGTGCATGTTTAGTTTTGTCTGAAAATAATGAACATGTTTAAAAGTCATGTTTTGTTGCTTGATGTTCAAGGAAGAATCAAGTGACACTGGTTGAAATTTATTTCCACAGATATCGTCCACCACAAAGTTGTGCACCTGATTCTGCTGCACGAGGACATGTCTCTTCAGTATTTCATTCCCGCTGTAGTACAGAGTGGATGATCAGCTGACCATTGACATTTCCTTTGGTCACTGTGAGTTTGAGGAAATTGAAAAACAAACTGTTGATAGTGGCATTGTTTCCCCTGTTGTTCAAGGGTGAATACAGGAAAAGGAAGCAGATACAGAAGCACGCATTTGTGCAGCACAGCAGGACATAATGGAAAAGACATAAGAAAATTATTTGTGAAGATGTTGTTTGCAAAGTTCAAGTGTTTTTCTGCAGTAAATGAGTGAAATTTATTTTTTTATATTTTTATAAAGTAGTAAACTATTTGTAATTTGTAATTTACTTTTCTTTCAATAGTTTTAGGCAGAAACGATTTGTTGTTTGTTACCGAATCTAAAAGCATGGTTGAAGTCATCAGAGCTAAAACTGTTGCTTAAAAGATGTAATGAACATAATTTGAGTTAGTGAAGCTTAAATGCTTTACTCGTGATGCTGAGTGTCTTTGCTGTAAAAAAACATTTTAAAGGTGAGTTGATAACATCTTCAAGCTAATATTTTTGCTGCTATTTCTGTGGTTAAAGTGTTGCATTTGCTAATGATACTGAAGCTAACATTTATGTTGTTACTGAAGCTCAGCTTAAGACATAGTTGTTGTTACAACTGCAAAGAAATGTTTATAATTACTGAAGAATCTCAAAAGCAGTTTTAAAAGTAGGCAACTGGAATCACCTCAATTAAAAGGGGTGTGGTGTGTTTTGTTTTGTTTTGTTTTTTCGACACCACGCCCCCAGTACTTTTAAAATTGCTTTTGAGATTATTATGATGATCTAGATGACTGATAATATCCACAGGTATTATTACTGAAGCTCAATATAATAATCTTTCTGCGAAAGTTATCAATGTTAATAGAACTCCAACTGACTTCACAAGACTTCACTTACACGTAACAAATGCCTTAAGAGTTAATGACGCCAACGGTGCTAAGACATCAGGAATGTCACTTGACTTAAAGTTGTCAAATTTGACCTAAAAGCTTCGCTGTTGTTGTTTTCTGACAATGTGGGAAAATTTGCTGCTAAAAATACTATCGATTACACGGTTACTTGTGTTAAGACGTGGCTCAAAGTTTGCGCAGTAACTGAATAATGTTGGCAAAAGCACATCAAACCTGCAACTATTACCGTAACGAATGATTCAAAATAAGTATTGTTAAAGTAAGTAAATGTTACTTGTGTTAAGACGTGGCTCAACGTTTGCGCAGTAACTGAATAATGTTGGCTGCAACTGTAGACAAACCGTATCTGTTGGCTGCAACTTGTAAACAAGCCTTATCTGTTGACTGTACAGACTTTGAACACGATACTTGCTCCACCTGCTTTTACTCCGCCCTGGTTCCTTTGTGGCGCAACATCGAGACTTCGCTGAGGAGTTGGTAATAACGAAAAGGGGTGAGTTTTGAACCTAAAAAGTAGAATATAGTCTCTCAAAATAAATTGTGTTTCATATGCATTACTCTAAATGTAAAGAGGGTACTTCAGTCCAACAGATTTTCCTATTTCCCGTGTTTCGTGTTAGTCGTTGACATATTCAAAATGGCGAGTTCTCGACCTCAAAGTCGATGACGAGGAAATGAGTGTCCACTGACCGTAAGGGATGTCTGCTTTACGGACAGTTTTAACTTCAAAACGTGACAGAAAGACGGGGAAACAGTTATATTTCTGTAATAGGTTGTGAAGTTTGAGACTTTGATGTCTGACGTCGAAATAATTTACAGAAACCGATCAGAACGAGTGCTCCATAAAAAGTCGCTACGCAGTCATAAGTCCTTCAAAGATCTTATCAGTGAGCAAATAATAATAAGGGAACTTGAGATGTAGCTGAGTGCTGCAGGGACAAACCATGTGGGCATTACCACAAGAGATTGTCATATGTATTGAAGATAGAAATCATACTGTTGGACTCGCAGCAGTTTTTGTGGTCGTGGCGCTTCCTGTGGCTGTTTACAGGAAAGAAGTGTCAAAGCGAAAGTGAAACCTAGTATTGCAACGGATTTTTTTTGTGTGTGTGTGGGCGGGGTACATATATAAATATATGTATATTTAGCCAAAACGTTTTTTTGTTTTAAACGGAGACTTTTTTATTCATAGTATTGTTATACGAACCTTAAAGGTCCACAAAGGCATTTTTAAGGAGCCTCGGTGTACGGTGCTTGGAGTTCCAGTGTCGGACAAGAAGCGACCACCATATACGTAAACGTCACGTAAGCCAAAATGTTTTATTTGATATTTTTATCAGTTCAGTAATTTCTTTATTTATCTGTTTGGGGAAATGAAAAGTCCATTATCACCCATTATTTTTCTTAGGCCAAATGGTGTGGAAAAGATGAATATCTCACAGAACGACAGCGATGGAAGTGGACCTCCAGAACTCAGCTGTCTGTCTTTAAAGAGTGACAGGTCCATAGATCCACCTCCAGTGTTTAGCCGTATAGTTCTTTCACCCTTCAAGACAAAGTATGCAAATCATTATCATCTATTTATCTTCATATGTTTAAATAAGGATTGCAGAACTTTTATGTTAAATTGTTGTAATCAATTAATCTGTTAATTTTGTCTTATCAATATTATCAATTTTTGTATGTGTGGTATATTTTATTTGACATTTAATATTTCAGTCATAGCAGTTCAGTAATTTCTTTATTTATCTGTTTGGGGAAGTGAAAAGTCCATTATCACCCATTATCTTTCTTAGGCGGAATGGTGTGGAAAAGATGAATTTCTCACAGAACGACAGCGATGGAAGTGGACCTCCAGAACTCAGCTGTCTGTCTTTAAAGAGTGACAGGTCCATAGATCCACCTCCAGTGTTTAGCCGTGTAGTTCTTTCACCCTTCAAGACAGAGTATGCAAATCATTATCATCTATTTATCTTCATATGTTTAAATAAGGATTGCAGAACTTTTATGTTAAATTGTTGTAATCAATTAATCTGTTAATTTTGTCTTATCAATATTATCAATTTTTGTATGTGTGGTATATTTTATTTGACATTTAATATTTCAGTCATAGCAGTTCAGTAATTTCTTTATTTATCTGTTTGGGGAAGTGAAAAGTCCATTATCACCCATTATCTTTCTTAGGCGGAATGGTGTGGAAAAGATGAATTTCTCACAGAACGACAGCGATGGAAGTGGACCTCCAGAACTCAGCTGTCTGTCTTTAAAGAGTGACAGGTCCATAGATCCACCTCCAGTGTTTAGCCGTATAGTTCTTTCACCCTTCAAGACAAAGTATGCAAATCATTATCATCTATTTATCTTCATATGTTTAAATAAGGATTGCAGAACTTTTATGTTAAATTGTTGTAATCAATTAATCTGTTAATTTTGTCTTATCAATATTATCAATTTTTGTATGTGTGGTATATTTTATTTGACATTTAATATTTCAGTCATAGCAGTTCAGTAATTTCTTTATTTATCTGTTTGGGGAAGTGAAAAGTCCATTATCACCCATTATCTTTCTTAGGCGGAATGGTGTGGAAAAGATGAATTTCTCACAGAACGACAGCGATGGAAGTGGACCTCCAGAACTCAGCTGTCTGTCTTTAAAGAGTGACAGGTCCATAGATCCACCTCCAGTGTTTAGCCGTGTAGTTCTTTCACCCTTCAAGACAGAGTATGCAAATCATTATCATCTATTTATCTTCATATGTTTAAATAAGGATTGCAGAACTTTTATGTTAAATTGTTGTAATCAATTAATCTGTTAATTTTGTCTTATCAATATTATCAATTTTTGTATGTGTGGTATATTTTATTTGACATTTAATATTTCAGTCATAGCAGTTCAGTAATTTCTTTATTTATCTGTTTGGGGAAGTGAAAAGTCCATTATCACCCATTATCTTTCTTAGGCGGAATGGTGTGGAAAAGATGAATTTCTCACAGAACGACAGCGATGGAAGTGGACCTCCAGAACTCAGCTGTCTGTCTTTAAAGAGTGACAGGTCCATAGATCCACCTCCAGTGTTTAGCCGTATAGTTCTTTCACCCTTCAAGACAAAGTATGCAAATCATTATCATCTATTTATCTTCATATGTTTAAATAAGGATTGCAGAACTTTTATGTTAAATTGTTGTAATCAATTAATCTGTTAATTTTGTCTTATCAATATTATCAATTTTTGTATGTGTGGTATATTTTATTTGACATTTAATATTTCAGTCATAGCAGTTCAGTAATTTCTTTATTTATCTGTTTGGGGAAGTGAAAAGTCCATTATCACCCATTATCTTTCTTAGGCGGAATGGTGTGGAAAAGATGAATTTCTCACAGAACGACAGCGATGGAAGTGGACCTCCAGAACTCAGCTGTCTGTCTTTAAAGAGTGACAGGTCCATAGATCCACCTCCAGTGTTTAGCCGTATAGTTCTTTCACCCTTCAAGACAAAGTATGCAAATCATTATCATCTATTTATCTTCATATGTTTAAATAAGGATTGCAGAACTTTTATGTTAAATTGTTGTAATCAATTAATCTGTTAATTTTGTCTTATCAATATTATCAATTTTTGTATGTGTGGTATATTTTATTTGACATTTAATATTTCAGTCATAGCAGTTCAGTAATTTCTTTATTTATCTGTTTGGGGAAGTGAAAAGTCCATTATCACCCATTATCTTTCTTAGGCGGAATGGTGTGGAAAAGATGAATTTCTCACAGAACGACAGCGATGGAAGTGGACCTCCAGAACTCAGCTGTCTGTCTTTAAAGAGTGACAGGTCCATAGATCCACCTCCAGTGTTTAGCCGTATAGTTCTTTCACCCTTCAAGACAAAGTATGCAAATCATTATCATCTATTTATCTTCATATGTTTAAATAAGGATTGCAGAACTTTTATGTTAAATTGTTGTAATCAATTAATCTGTTAATTTTGTCTTATCAATATTATCAATTTTTGTATGTGTGGTATATTTTATTTGACATTTAATATTTCAGTCATAGCAGTTCAGTAATTTCTTTATTTATCTGTTTGGGGAAGTGAAAAGTCCATTATCACCCATTATCTTTCTTAGGCGGAATGGTGTGGAAAAGATGAATTTCTCACAGAACGACAGCGATGGAAGTGGACCTCCAGAACTCAGCTGTCTGTCTTTAAAGAGTGACAGGTCCATAGATCCACCTCCAGTGTTTAGCCGTGTAGTTCCTTCACCCTCCAAGACAAAGTATGCAAATCATTATCATCTATTTATCTTCATATGTTTAAATAAGGATTACAGAACGTTTATGTTAAATTGTAGTAATCAATTAATCTGTTAATCTTGTCTTATCAATATTATTGGTCTTTGTATGTGTAGTATGTTTTTAGGGGAAATGACAAGTCCATTATCACCCATTATCTTTCTTATGCCGAATGGTGTGGAAAAGATGAATATCTCACAGAACGACCGCAATGGAAGTGGACCTCCAGAACTCAGCTGTCTGTCTGTAAAGAGTGACAGGTCCATAGATCCACCTCCAGTGTTTAGCCGCAAAGTGCCTCGACGCTACCTGAGTCGTGTTCAGCGTCACTTTGAATTAACCAGGTACTATCAATGTATTTTGTTTTGTACAACTACACTTGAAATGCCTTTTATGTGGCTTTAGAGCAATAAAGAAACTTCTTCACAGAGAGGACTTTGGTCAAGTTCTGTGGAAAGATCCTGTTTCCTACACTGATGGATACACCCTGCAGAGTAAGATCATTTGATTAATGTCAATACATTTGTTGTGCAGCTTTGAATTATAAAGAGACATGAATATGCACCTTCAAATATTCCTGTATGTGTTTTTATTACGTCAATGACCACCTGTGTAAATTCTTTCATTTGGAATGACTTTGTGTCTTTTTTTGTAGATGACATCATTCTACAGAAGACGTTACATGAACATAAGCTGAGTCTGAGTAGAAAACATGGACATGTTGTTGAGGGAATTGATGAATCTGGAAGAACTCTCTTTTCCGAGATCTATATTGAGCTTTACATCACAGAGGGACTTGATGAAGAGGTCAATACCCAACATGAGGTGAGGCAGCTTGAGACAGGTTCCAAAACCAGAACCATCTCTGACACTCCCATCAAGTGCTGTGACATCTTTAAACCACGACCTGACCAGCAGGGACCCATCAGGGTCGTTCTGACCAATGGTGTTGCTGGTATTGGAAAAACCTTCTCGGTTCAGAAGTTTACTCTGGACTGGGCTGAGGGTTTAGAAAACCAGGATGTGGGTCTGGTGGTTGCCCTTTCCTTTAGGGAACTGAACCTGATCAGAGATCAGCAGTACAGTCTTCTCAAACTGCTACACGTTTTCCATCCAACATTACAGAAGATCACACCAGAGAACCTCAAAGACTGTAAACTTCTGTTCATCTTTGATGGTCTGGATGAAAGCAGACTCTCTCTGGACTTCAGGAGCACAGAGATTGTGAATGACGTCACACAGATGTCATCAGTAAACGTGCTGCTGACAAACCTCATCCAGGGGAATCTGCTTCCCTCATCCCTCATCTGGATAACTTCCAGACCAGCAGCAGCCAATCAGATCCCTCCTACATGTTTGGACAGGGTTACAGAAGTGCGTGGCTTCACCGATACCCAGATAGACGAGTACTTCAGGAAGAGGTTTAGAGATGAGGAGCTGTCCAACAGAGTCATCTCACACATCAAAGCTTCCCCAATGCTTCACATCATGTGTAGAATTCCAGTCTTCTGCTGGATCAGTGCCACAGTTCAGGAGCACATGTTGACCACAGACAAGAGAGAAGAGCTGCCCAAGACTCTGACTGACCTGTACTCACACTTCCTGTTGGATCAGATGAGGAGGAAAAGTATAAAGTATCATGAGGGAAGTAAGACACAGGAGCTCAATGACACTTACAGAGATGTTCTCCTAAAGCTGGGGAAGCTGGCATTTGAACACTTGGAGAAAGGAAATATAATGTTCTATCAAGAAGACCTGGAGCAGTGTGGTCTGGATGTCACAGATGCCTTGGTTTGCTCTGGAGTTTGCACTGAGATTTTCATGAGCGAGAGTGTGATCCTCCAGAAATCCATCTACTGTTTTGTTCATTTGAGTGTGCAGGAGTTTTTGGCTGCAGTCTACATGTTTCATTGCTTCATCAACAGGAAGACAGATGTACTGCAGGGTTTCTTAAAAGAAGAATACAAATCTGTAGAGTCACTCTTACTTCATCCATCCAGGTTTGAAACGCTCTTTGGGTATTTCACAACTACGGCCGATGCTGATTTACCGTTGACCATTTTTCTGACAACAGCCATGAAGAAAAACCTTAAAAGTGACGGCAGTCACTTAGACCTGTTTGTTCGCTTTCTTCACGGCCTTTGTCTTGAGTCCAATCAGAGACTTTTGAAAGACCTCATAGGTCAAACAGAGACCTGTCCAGAAAACATCCAGAGAATCATCAAGAATCTAAAGGAGATGAACGTGGATGATATTTCTCCCAGCAGAAGCATCAACGTCTTTCACTGTCTCACAGAGATAAAGGACCAATCAATGCATCAGGAGATCACAAAGTTCCTAAGGTCAAAAAGAAAATCTCAACACCTCTCTCTAATCCATTGCTCAGCTCTGGCCTACATGCTGCAGATGTCAGAGACTGTTGTTGATGAGTTGGACCTGGAAAAGTACAAGACACCAGTGGAAGGCCGACAGATGCTGATACCAGCTGTGAGGAACAGCAGACATGTTCGGTGAGTCCAGACGTACTGACTGCCAGAGATTCTGGATTTAATTTTTGTTTTTAAATTTTGGTCAGCCAAATTTTAGATCTAGCGCTATCTATTCAAGACAGTTGTCCTGTTACATATTTCATCGAATTTACCTTGTTCCCACAGACTGTCTGGGTGTGAAATTACAGAGGCTCACTGCGAAATGGTGGCATCAGCTTTAAAGTCTGACCCGTCCCACATGAGAGTGCTCGACCTTAGTGGAAACTACCTGGAGAATTCCAAAGTGAAGATCCTCTGTAATGGCCTGCAGAGCCAACACTGTCAGCTGGAGACTCTCAGGTCAGTAAACACAACAACAGATCCAAGAATTTAAGCAGTTAGCACCATGTTCTTCCACTCAAAAACTCATCTTTAACCAGTACATTGTACGTTGGGTTCTAGAGTGTGTTGGATTCTTTGTGAGTCTGAATGTTGCCTCCTAGCACTGGGGCAGGTAGATGACAACATTTGAATAGTAAGGTGGTATGTGTATTCCCCAGGAATATAAGGGCACTTCATGGTGATGCACTCCTGTTGTTTTTAACAGTTGGTCTAATTAGACAATTGTGACTGTGTGTCAGTTCCTCTTTATTTTTCGAACATCAGCAATGATTGCTTCCTTTTTTTTAGGATGGATGGGTGTGATCTGTCAGAGATCAGCACTATGTCAGTGATCTTGACTCTGAAGTCCAAATCATTCAACCTTAAAGAGCTAGACCTGAGTAGCAATCGCCTGATGGAGGATGCTGTGAAGGAGTTGTGTGATTTCCTGCAGAGTGAACACTGTCAACTGCGCTCCCTGAGGTCAGTTTAGTGGGCGTTTTCATATCTTTATTTTGTTTCTGTGCTTCAAAACCTCTAGTAACATATTGATGGCTATATTCTATATGTGGTTAAAACAGATCTAAATATCCCACTAGTTAATATTGACTTTAGTCACTCTTTCTTTTTCTTTCTTCAGGTTGGCTGCGTGCAGTTTGTCAGAGTACAGCTGTTCTTTACTGGCCCGGGCTCTGAAGTCAAACCATTACCACCTGAGAATACTGGACCTAAGTCACAACCACCTGCAGGACACAGGGCTGAAGGAAATGTGTGATTTCCTGCAGAATCCACTCTGTCAGCTGGAGTATCTGGGGTCAGTAACTAGTTATTAGTTACTGGTACTTCTGACTGTGCTGCCTCTACATTTTGATGGTGGATTTGTTGACCGTCCTGTTATCAAGAGCCATTTTAACATTATCTAAGGGGATTGCTGAACATTTTTATTTCCATATTCAGGCTTGCACGTTGCAGTTTGTCAGAGATCAGCTGTGCCTGTTTAACATCTGCTCTGGAATACAATCCCACCCACCTGAGACACCTGGATCTGAGAGGGAACGAACTACAGGACTCAGGAGTCAAGCATCTCTGTGATTTTCTGCAGAGTCCAGGATGTGAACTGGAGACTCTGAGGTCAGTCAGTGAGAAAACCTGAGAAAACTGATTTTCATAACAACATAACATAACAAAAGACCAATTTAGACTAATTTACCTAAAATCAATCATAATAACTTCAAGAAGAAACTGGCATTTATTAAGTACTATAATACAAAGTTCCATTGTGAAAATCAGTGATTACAACTTGAAGGGATGCTGAAGCTGCCAGAATGCTACTGCCCCGTTTGGCCAGGTTTTTAATAAATCATTTCTAAAAAAATCTAAATATAATGTTGACCTGAGAGATGGATGCAGCAATTAAGTCCACAGCTACAAAATATTTTCCATGGTTTGCTTTTGGAGAGTGCTTTAGAGAAAAAACTCTTGTCTGTTCTCAGGTTGTGGTCTTGCAGTTTGTCAGAGGTCAGCTGTTCTCTTCTGGCCTCAGCAATGATGAAAAACCCATCCCATCTGAGAGAACTGGAGCTGAGCGGGAACCAACTGCAGGACACAGGCGTTACGTCACTCTGTGCTTTTCTATCAACTCCATTTTGTAAACTGGAGATATTAAGGTCAGACTCCATGTCTTCTATAACAAATCAGTCTACCTCTTAAAAGTCAAAATAAAATGCTCATTTAGGAAAAGGAAGTATATAAAGTATAAGTAATGTTATACTGTTGCTGTTAACTAAAATCACAATAAGCTAAGCCAAAGACTCAGATGAGTAGTCATTAATATGTATGTAGTATTCAGTGTTGTAACTATAAGCTACTTGACATTTGAAGTAATCAGTCCAGCTAATGTCCAATAGTAAAGTTCGACTGTGAATATTAACTCGGTTCTGTTTTTCCTCCAGACTGAGCAGCTGTGGTCTCTCAAAGACCAGCTGTGATAGTCTGGCGTCAGCTCTGAGGTCATGTCAACGGTACCCGAAAGACCTGAATCTGAGCTACAACCACCTGAAGAAGTCAGACCTGGATGAGCTGTTAGAGCTCTCGATGAGTCCAAACTACGGACTAGAGACTCTGAGGTCAGTTTAAGACGTAGTCGGTACATAAGACTTAGTCATACATGTATATGTGACTATGTATTGAGTCAACTTCAATATGGTTTGAGCTAAATTGAACTCAAAACAGGCGTAGATCAAGTCTTTAGTGCAAATTGCAATGGAATGTTGTTCATGTTTTTGATGGCTTGTTAATTTTATTTATTTAGTACATATTATTTATTTGTCAAACTTTAACCATATTCAGGAAAATTCAAACAAACCTGAAATGATTTTTATTTAGTTTTAACAAGATTTAACCTGAATTAAGATTTCTAAAAAACTCAGCTACTGCAGTCCTTGCTGATTCTGTTAAATTTCTCTTTTCACAGATATATTCAGTGAGCGAGCGCCCATGGTGATTCTGTTAACCAGACAAAGCATCATCTGCGTTGGCTGAGACCATGTCACCCTATTTATCCACCTGTATTTGATTTCTTTAATTCCACCTTTGAATTTAATGTTGTACTCTCACTAAATTGCTTGTTTATTCAATCGCAAATAAGCTCACCAAGCAGAAAGCTTCCTTAAAACTTACAGAGAGACTTCAGAAAAAGGCCAGATGAAAAGATGAAAAAACAGGATGGTGGAAAGTAGGTAAGAAAACATTTGTTTAATGTTTAAAACCTGCTGTACACCCGGCCCATAGGAAGGGCCAATAGAAGAGTGGGGCAAAGAAATGGGCCCTCAATAAGTTAAAAAAAAAACCTGAACTATATTGAGCCCACATTTGGGGAGCAGATATTCTGTTAACAGGCTGCCCCCAGCAGGTGCCAAGCATAGGGTTCCTCTGGGAGTCGAACCCACGACTCTTTGCTTTTGAGGTAGGCGAGCTATTCGCTATACTATGGAACTGCATAGGTCAGTTCCATAGTATAGCGAATAGCTATAGAGTTATGGAAAAGGAGAGATCCTGGCAGAACTGGCCGAAGTTGTAAGCACATGAAAGAGAAGGAGAGCAGTTAGGGCAGTGTGGTCAAAGGAACCGGCTTGTTATTGGATGGCTGCTAGTGCAAATTCAGGCCCTTATGGCACTGTTGTGTGGTGTGCAAATAGAAAAACTCAGATGTTTGAGTCACACCTCCCATTAGGGGGAGGGGGTCTGCTATTCAGGCCCAAGATTATCTTGCCCTGGGCTCATGCAAGACTGTCAGCTAGCCTAGTTTCAGTACTGATGAATGTACAGTATGTTTGTGACATAGTTGAGGCAGGATGGAACAGCTGGAGAAAAGTATCAGGAGTGACCTGTGACAGAAGAGTGACAGCTAAGGTGAAAGGAAAGATTTACAGGATGGTGGTGAGACCAGCCATGATGTGTGGTTTAGAGACGGTAGAAATAGGCAGAAGACAGGAGGCGGAGCTGGAGGTGATAGAGTTAAAGATTCTCTTTAGGATGGACAAGGATGGACAGGATCAGGAACGTGAAGATTTCACGTCCAGTTGCTGTTCAACAATGATACTAACAATTGGCTAACTTTTCTTCTACTCTACTTTGTATTGCTAGCTTAAACCTAAACATTGACTTTAGACATGCCTCCATTTTTCCCCTGCTCAATGGGTTTTTAGGAGGATACTTTAAGTTTTTTCACATTTATTTCAAACTGCAATGTCCCTTGAGACAAATGTGATTTGTAAATTGGGCTAAACAGATGAAAATATTAATTTAAATGACTTGACTAAGAGTCGAGTCATTTTGAAATATTTTGTTATTCTTTAACAAATAACAACTAAAGTACCAAAATGTGGCCATTCTACAGCAAGATAAAATTGGACTTTGATGATAAAAAGTTATTCTCATTATTAGTACCTAATGTAATATAATATATGTAATCATAATATATAATATAATGATTAAATAATGTAATCATAATAATAAATATATCATTAATAATAAATAAAACAAATAATAAAAAATACATTTTTATTTTATTGTTTGGTTTTGATTATTATTAATCAAAATCACAATTAAACAAAATCATTTACACAGTTTTTAAAACATACAATGATATAAATAGTATAAAACAAATATGGATAAAGATTTTTTTTAGATTCTCAAATATTTGTGCAAACAAAAAATTAAAAAAAATAGACTAAAGTCACTTGCACCTTACTTTGCTGCTTGAGCTCACAGAACGCTGCTTTGTTTAAATGTAAACATAATGTAATAACTCACTTTCCTACTCATGTATGTAGACATATTGGCTTTATTTTTTTAAACGTATCACAGATCAATAAAAGTTATCAACACAGTATTATTTCGTATTTACTTTTCTCTGAGTTAGGTAATAGCCGGTCATATACGTTATAATGTTGTATTACTGCCCTCCTAGATTTTCTTTATGCTGGGCAGAAGCAACAGTTGCCAAAGACCTTAAACCATTTGTTCTACGAAATGTTGTGGAACAATCAGTGCAAGAACGTAATGGATACCAGAATCAGGCACAGTAGTGTTTTTCTTTAACCAGAACTATAGTGTTTTGAGAAAATGACCATGAACACAATCTGAATTCTTCAGTAACCCCAAGGTAAGTCCTGGAAAGTCACTTGTCCTAAAAGGATCAAATTCAAAGTCATGTATTTGGTTATTTTAAACCAAAATTGTCTTTTAGTGAACATGTGTATAGCTTTGCATTGTTATCGTATTTCCATCCGATGTTTTTAGATACATTTCCATTAGTTCCATTAGGCCACTTAGTGGTGGTTACTGGTATTGACAAGTATTGTGAGTATCAGTCATTCCTTTCTTGAGCTGATCTTATTCTTAGCATTATTTGTTTTTCAAGATAATCTGTGAAACAAGTGTTATCTCTAACAGAGCATCATCTGCAAAGAACTGTCTTTATTTTGGTGATTAGTGATAAGCAACGTCACATATACACAGTGTTTAGTATCCTATTCTGGTTTCTCACAGTGGACTATAATTAATTTGTTCTGCAAAGTCCATACCTATCTATCAAAACTTGACTTTTGATTTTTTTTTTTTTTGGAGATTCTCTTTATTTGACAATTGTCTTTATGTTCCTTCAGATTTAGTCAGTACTTTGTTGTAGGACACTTCCTATGGAGCTACAGCAGCATTTTCCCGCCGCCGTGCACACCGGTGTCGTCTTTAACATGCCCTTCGGATCCTCAACATCCAGGTCTGCCAGCACTGACTCACCCGCCATGCCATGACCTACGCACCCGTCTTCTATTCTTTGTATAAAAAGTGCTACGTTTATGTTTCAGCCACACGCGGTGAAAATCCCTCACCTTTCCCGTCACATACGTCATGGCACTGATGATAAGGACTCGATGATGTATGGTGGTTTTAAAACCTGCCTCTTCTGAAATTTTATCAGGTGATTTTCTTAACTGCCTTGCTGCCCCAGGCTTTAGTCAAACACCATCTCTTGACTTTTGCGCACACATCGCGCCACGTTTCTCTTAAAAACTCCATGTGGATCCTCCCTCCACTCCTTAGCTGCGTCCACATTGGCTGCAGACTCTCCATTAGGGTCAGCCAACATGGAAATGACGCTAATCAAAATAGTTTCCACTGTGTGAATCGGTAGCCAACGCTCCTCAGGCTTCTCATACCCATATTTGTCTTCGCCAGGTTCGTGCAGGATTGAGATGCAAACATCACCATTCGTGGCCACGTTGGGATGCCAGATTTCTGTAACAAATGTCATCTTGGGAGGTTTAAGAGGGTAGTCGCGGGGGAAGAATAGAGTAGCCTTAAAGACGCCTCCTTCGTATAGTGTGTCCCGAGGCCCCATGACGACTACTTCCCACTGATATATGTCATCGTCATTAATCAGACCTGCGGAAAAGCCTTCCACTGGGTTCTTATTGAGCTCTGCCAGCTGTTTACGCAGCAACAGTGAAGACTGTTCTGTCATTTTGAAGGTTAGGAGGTTAAACAGCACCTGAAAACTCAACCACCCTGTTGGGTTTTCTGTGTTTCTTGCAAAACCCAGCTTTATCTAAATCCCTTTAAGGCAGGTGGCATATGTAACACACAGTAGCCACAGTTGATCAAAGAGCTTTTCTCTTTTATCTTCCTATGACATCATCTTTCAAGTCAAATGTGCAGTTTAGTCGTCAGAACGCTAACATTACCTTACAAACACATAAGGGAAGGGAAATGAGAGGATACAAGAGGAAGGAGGAGAGACTAAGATCCAGGAGAAGATAGATAGATGATCCCGTATTAAATGATTAAATTCAATAAGGAGCAGTGATGCAACACTTGCTGCTGTTTAACCCTACCTCTGTTTAACTTACTTTTACAAACCACTGTCAATCATCAGTGTACAAGAAAAAAAAATAAAAATAGGGATTAGCTCTTAGGTGTGATTGATAAAAAAAATCGAAAATGTCAGCACTTAAAGTCTCAGTGGATTTGCCAAAGGTGTCGGTGGAAACTGTCAGTCCATGTGTTAAAACCTTTTTGACCGGACTGACGGCAGAGCAGTGGAGCTTGTTAGAAACAGGCACGCCCGATGATTCCACCAGGCTCCGTTTGGCTGACATGCTGCTGAACGTCTTTCGATGCGTGGTTGGCGTCTTATCAGACTCTTTGCAGAAAGGCGTGTCAGTGGATAATGTGCGAGACAGTCTGGAAGACTCCATCGAGCGCAGCTTTGCCGAGGCCGTGGGCGTGGAGGTGGTGAATGGTCCTGGCTCTGACACGGTGACAGAGTGGATTGCAACTGAAGTTGTTGCCCTGGCCAGCAGTGAGAGACCAGCACAGCCGAAGCCGACAAACTCGTTGATTCGCTCCGTGTGCAGAATGTTGAAGAGGTGTGCAGGAAAGATGAAAAGGTGCTGTGGTGGGAAGCAGTCACGATACAGCAGCATTCAGACTTCCCCCAACCAGACCAACAAGGACAGTGATGCCCCGTCATCAATTAAACAGGTGGTCCAGGAGGTCATCAGTGAAGAGCTAAATCAGATTATTGAGCCTTTTGTGGAGGAAGTGGAAGATGTGACGTATAACCAGTTACAAGAGCAGTTGTATAACGAGACTGATGCTGCTGCAGAAGACATCGCTCAGTCTGTCACCGAATACATCGGTTCCAAAGAGTCCAAAGAGTCCGGATTTTTTATTCCTAGTCCAAAAGCCCAACAGCAGAAGAATTTAAAGGGAGTGCGAAACAAAATTGGCAACTTTTTTGCTAAAATGTTTGCTAAAGCTTCAATCTGTCGAATTTTCTCACAAGTAAAGACAAAGTTCTCGGACGAGGCCAAAGTTGACGACGACGAATCAGTCAAGTCCTTATTGGAAGATGCTGAACCTTTGCTTAACACCATTGGTAAAACCCAAGTAACTGACGAGGAAGTAAGTCTGCTTCGCAGACTTGAAAAGATTTCAAGGGACGACGTCCTTGAGTTGACGGGGGAACTCAGCGACGTCCTCTACGGTCACATCACCGGTGAAATGGCTCCGGAAGCATTCAGGGAGGACGTACCAGGAACATCATCATCTGAGGCTCAGCCGTACGCTAGAATGTATGCAGACATACGGCAAAGGGTTATTTGCTTCTTGTCACTGATGAATTGGTGGTTGGAAAATCAGGTTGCCCGTTACAGTGACAGAGTGCTGCTTGCTTTGATGGAGAATGAGACTGTGACCACAGCACAAGTGATAGAAGGACCCAGGGAGGAGGTAATACCTCTGCCGACGTACACCGAGGCAGAGCAGGAGGACGCAGCACAGACA